GATCTTACTTTGAACACAAAAAAAAGCAATAGAGGCATATGACCCCTTTGTCTTTGTTTGCAGGTATCTATCTATAGCCACATTCACAGCCCAGGGACAATGTGAAATTTCAGGCTGTGTTAAAAAAAAATTACATAAAAAGGGATTTGAACATGCCTTTTTCATTAGTACCACACCTCCCTCCCCCAGAGGCTCCAGAAATTAATCCATTTCATCAGCAGGCACTCAGACAAGCTGCTGATGAATTCCAAAGAAGAATATGGTATAGGCAAGATTAGAATTAACAGGATGAAGTGTGTTGCTATTACTCCTCTAGAATTAGAGCTCAGAGAATAACACATCTGCACAACTCAATGGCAAACTGAAAACAGACGACTGCTTTGTTTCTGGGTTATTTCAAACCCTTTCCTTATTAATAAATAGATTTAAGACACTCTCGAAGCATGGGCATTATGCCAACAACAGTATAAAAGCACAGCATATTGGTTTTATTGAAACAGTTCCCTTCTTTTTTTCTGTCAAAACTATTTCCTAAGCATTAGTCACAGCTTTGCATGTTGCTGACATCCTTCCTCCCTTCCAAACTGTCTCAGTGAAGGAAGGAACAAACTTCTGACAATAGAACTGATGCCTGGGTCATAACTACAGTTACAACAGCACCTGGAATCTCAGCACAAGGCTGGGGAATTCGAGAGTTTATGACGTGAAACTCGGGCCCCGAGAGCAGGCGCAGAGGCACAAGCGGATGGAGGAGCGCGGCGAGGGCTCCCTGCCTGCACGCCGAGGACCGTGCGCCTTGCGGCCACGCGGCACAAGGACCTCGGCAGGACGGAGCAGGAGCTGAGTGCGCCCTGACCCGCTGCAGCGCTGCGAGGAGCGGGAGCTGAGCGCGCGAGGTAACGTAGTCACCGAGACCCCGCCGTGGGCTCGGTAACTACCTGCTGCCGCTCGTGCTCATCGCGCCCAGGGCACCACGGAGCCTGGGCAGCCCCTCCGTGAGGGTCTTTGCCCCTTGTCTCGGTGCAACGGGGCTTGATTGCCAACTTTAGAAAAGTCAATTCATTTATAAAGCACGAATCTGTGTTGAGAGCCCTGTGTCATTTGGGGTGACAAAAATAACAACCTCGCAACATTATGTTTAACACTTTGCTGAATAGGTAACAAATATTTAATCAGTGAGTTGTTCTGCTGTGGTAACAAAAGAGGGGTAAACTGCAAAAAGCTGCTCTGAACCTGCTAGTTGTGTTTTATCTCTGAGACAGGTTTCAGTGCCACAGCACAACCTTTGCAGGCAGAGGAGCCGGATTCACCCGTTCTGAAAGCCTTTCCTGACCACCCTTCCAAGGGAACAACACCAATTCTTACAAAGGCCTAACATGCAAGGAATGGCTTGGTAAAAAATAAGACAGAAATTACATTTTGCACTGCATGCATGCAGGTAATAATCTAAATACCAAATTAACTATTGGCATCATATCTCTTTGTCACTGCACTTCTTATTCCCTCTTTTCTAAAAGCTGCCCATAAAAAGTGGTCCGCCTTACATGTTAAAAGCAACATGAGCATGTGTTACCTCAAATTCTAATTATACTCTTTTTCCCCTATATATACAGCATGGTTTCAGATGTGCCAGGCAGATGGAGTTTAACAGGAAATATTACATCAACAGATGCTACTACCTAGTTATCTTTGTTCAGTCTGGAAATAAATTGAGGGGTAAAGCATGAAAACATGTTTTCTTCTAGGGCCACCATCTGCTAATTTTAGAAGTAGCTGTCACTGGTGACTCAGTATCATTTGTGTATGTAAAAACATTACTAATATCATTCTCAAGGTAGCTATTATTGTATGATCATTGCAACAATTGACTAGTACCGAGATGACAGCATATAAAAAAATGTGACTAATGATTTTAAAAGGAAAACAATTTTGAATAGGATTATGTGAGAAAGGACAGGGGTTTTCATGGGAAGTTTTAGAAAATAAAACTTGTTTTTATCCTTCCTTTCAATCATACTCTGTTAAGAAAGGAAAATGTTTGTGGTTTGACATCAGATAGAGCTTTTCCAGTTTCAGAAGTGTATGGTCTTCACAAAAGAAATGTGTTTGGCTGTCAGAGTTTGTAAAACAAAGGGTTAACAGACTGACAGCGGCAGTGTCCACGGGTTCCAGTGGTGTGTTTTATAAAACAAGATGAGGGTGACGGTGTTCCAGCACATGGGGTGGCCACGCGGCTCATCCCAGAGGACCACGGGAAGGGAAGGGGAGCGGATGGGCAGAGCAGAGCCGAGCGGGGGGTTTGCTCCCACGCAGCTGACACCAAAACGCGTCGCGTCCCTGTTGGGCCCGTCCGATGGGCAACGAGCGGCGGGGGCACCTCGGCAGTGGAACCGCGGGCTCCCTCGCCAGCCACAGCTGCACCGTCCGCACCGCAGCCGCAGTGCCCGAGGGGACACGGAGCTCCCAGCTCCCGGGAGGGCGCTGTCTGCCACTCGTGCGGGGCAGAACCGGGGCAAACGCCATTCCTTGCATCCATTAAGCAGGTGAACACAAAACTGTGGCTCAGGGCGGCTCACATTCTGCACTGTGCGCGGATGCAATAAACCACTAGCCAAACCCAGCCACCTCTCTGACTGATAAGGAATGATCTTTCAAAATCCACTCTCCTTCCTGCTGCCCTCTGCGCTTTGCCGACTCACGCCAAGTCCTCTCCTGCTGCAGCTTACGCAGGTTTCACTGACATTTATCGAACTACATCTCTTGGGCTTGCTGTTGTCTTATCTGACTCCAGGGCCAGGCAGCGCTGCTCTAAAAATAAACCCCAAACAAAATATATTGCTTTGTTAATATAAGAAAATCTGCAGGGAGAAGAGAAATTAGCTGCTTCCCTTGTCATCCAGCAACGAACGCACATGGACTGCCTTTTCCTGCACTTTACTGCACAGCGAATAAGAACATGGGACGAATTTAGCACAGATCCCTGGGAAGGAGGAAGCACCCTCCTCACCGGTGCCCTGGGAGGGCTCGTGCTGAGGAGCGCGGCGCTGGACAGCCCTATGGGTGCACGTGCCAGGGAGGTTGTTCTCTGCAAACTGCCCATCACAGTCTCAGTTTTTAGTTTTAGCAAATACTTGGGGTGGCGCATTACCCAATCATCTGGCTTTTAAGTGAAAATTCACGTGCTTCCACTGATTATGAGCAAGATGAGCAGCATTCAGCAGTAAATGGGCACCTCCTGTGACCTTCACCCTTGCTGTTGCGCCGCGTGCAGGGCCGTGGCAGCAGGACCGGCCCTGTCCTTCCCCCCTGCAGGACACTCACGCTCCTGAGCGCCTCGGCAGCCCCAGCTCCTCTCGCATCACCCAGATCTCTGGACTCCTGCGCAGTTCCTGCCGATATGGAAAGTGCATTTGGAATCCCTTAGTAAGATAGGGACTGTCACAGAGTTACAGATGCATCTGCGCAGGCAGCGAGGCGGACGGGAGGGTGTCAGCGGCCGGGCCCCGTGCAGGTTTGAGGCAGGAATACTGGCCCTAATGCAGTGGTTCCTGGCCTGAGCTGCTCTGATCTGTGTCTGCTTCTAAAGAGTCCCCACAAGAAACCCAAGACAAGCAGGACTAGAGGAACTACCATTTTATTTATAAATCAATTCTGCAGAACAATTAATGCATAGGTACATCTTTCATTAAAAGTATCTAATACTGTCCAAACTTAGCCCATTTGCAGAATACTTCAGCCATGTCTCTCCTTATGAAACACACACAGGAACATGCAGGCACGGCCGCTAGCAAGGCGGGCACGAAGGTGCTCAGGCCTGGCGCTCGCTGCGTTGGTGCTCGCTGCATTGGCGCTCCGGCCAGGACCACCTCGAGCCGCCTGCGGTGCCTCCCGCGCGGCGGCTGCCTCGGCCAGGCCCCAGGGAGCCGCGTCCTCGGCGGGACGGCTATGACGGCCTCTCAACCCCGTGAGCCGGTCACTGGCCCAGCTCCTCTTTCCTCCTCACAAGGTCTGTTGCCCCTGCACTGCCCTTCCGCCATCCGTCAGCTTCTCCCACGGGCTGGACACCCGGCCAGGGAGGAGAAGGCAGAAGGCAATGGAGGCCGAGCACCAGCTGCCTCCAAGGGAGCGGAGCATCGAGACTGATGGAAAAGAAACTGAGCCCCCAACGAGAGGCGATTTTAACACTGAAATATTAAAATACTCGCCACATCTTCACTTCTGGAAAAGCTCCTTCTTTGCTCAGTTCAGTGACATTATGTATTATCCTATTTGCTCAACAGGAGGTTTTTATAACATACAGTAATACATAAAATATTGTTTTAATGTGGTATGTATGAAAATACCTGCATATCAAAAATATCTATCATTTCGTGGCTAGCAGATTTTTTAAAAATCAAGTTAAAAGCATACAGAACATGGAAATTCCTTTTCCTGTTTACTTTTGTTAGCATTTTTCCTCTGACTGCTATACAGGGCTATTTTACTTTTGTACAGAATGAACAATGCCCCTGTCAACTAAAACCGCAAGACTGAGGAAACGCAGGAGTTACTGTAAACGTGTAAGGGCAGCAGGTCCCACGGGAGCAGCGGGAGGCTCCAAGGCTCCGCGCTCGGGAGAGGAGGCAGCGGCACCAGCGCCCGGCGCGTTCAGCTCCCGAGCTGCAGCCTCCTCCTCGCGGGGACGAGTGTTCGCCCCTCCGAGCGCGTTCACGTCCCGTCACCAAGGGGCAACTCAGGGGAGCTCAGGTTTTTACCTGCATCTCACTTCAAGTAGCAGGAGGAAATATAAAATCCCTGTTTTTTATTCCTAAAAATACCAGTCCAGTTTTATCTCCTCGGATCTGAGCTTTACCCGAGAGTAAAAGAGACCAATCCCCAACATGGGCACCATCTCTAGGTGCTCCGACCCCTCTGTCGCCAAGGGCTCCGGCTCTAGGAGATGGATGAAGAGCGGCCATTCCGAGCCCCCAGCGACGCTGTCCACGCTGCGCCCGTCCCAGCTACTGCCGCCGGGAGAAGCGGAGGCTGTGGGAGAGCAGGAGCTCCAGGTCAGCAGTGTCATCCGTTGTCTCTACGGGCACGTTGCTCTTTTCCGCAGGGGGTGAGTAACTCTGCACTTCGTGTCTTGAAGTCAACATACCTGAAGTCCCATTGCAAGAACATGCCCCTGGTTGCCTAATGCTGTCTGAACAAACAGTGGTTGGATGATAACCCCCTGGACAGGGATTTGCTCGGTCATGACTAGGGAAATAGTACTTGGCTGCCACTGGACTTGATTCCACTTGTTTAAGAAAAGGGTTATTAGGCACACAGCAGGTCTGAAGACAGCTATTACTTTTGAATCCATGATGAAGGCCTAATTTAGCAATAAGGGGCTTCCCAACATTGACTTCCTTCCTCTCGTCCATTGTATCTTCTACCCCTGGATACTCATAGTGCAGGCAAACAGTGAAGATCAAGTGCTCCTGCAATGGAAGGGAAAAGGAGTTTTATTTCTCCCAAATAAGCAACATAGTAAACTTCTCCAGAGAAATAATTTACTGGAGAAGGAGATTAATCATTTTAGGAGCTCAAGACACATGCTAAGCAAGACTGTTAACCTAATCAGCTACAGACAGTACATGGAAAGGGGAGGTTCTGCACTGATGCTGATTCATACACCAGAGAAATTAGGTGGGATTGCAGAAAGAGCCTATTCACATAGAATATTTGCACACTCTCCTTACACCTGTGGAAGCAGTCAGACATCTCCAATGGCCTCTTACCCTGATAACCTTAAGATGACCAGGAAAAGCATTTTTTTTCCTACAATTTTGGTTTTGGTCCCTGGGACAGTCTATGCAAGTCTCTCAGCTCTTCAGGAAAGCCACTACAAGCTATGAAGGAACTAGGTGCATCCCATGCTTATTCAAAGTACAATTTCCCCTACGGCTTCAAATTGCCTAAATTTTATGTGTAATCAACCCGCTCCTGAACAGGACATGCAAAGGCAGGGGAACTGAACCATGTTTCAGTCTCTGTGCAAGAGGTACCCCACACCCTAGAAAATCTGGCTTCCTGCTACTGCAGGTGAGCTCAGCAGCAGAACCCCGGCACAAACATACCTCCTTTTTAGAGATGGCAGCAAAATAAACAGTTTTTCTGTCCCCTTCACTATCTGAAAGGGTCTCAGAACTTGCTGACCTGTTTACCTCTTTTGGTTACTAACTTGCTTACCCGACTTTTATCTTTTATTTCTAGAAGCCTTTATGTTTCACCACCTGCCAGAAGCCTTGGGGACGACACACCAAGCGACATCCAGCCCAGATGTTCACAGCACACAGACACAGGAAAGAGCCTAGAGAAGCCTTCAAAGGCTGCGCGCCCAAGAGCACGCGCTGCAGTGGAAGGAGGCGGCGTGTGACAGTTTCAGCTCCTGCTGAGGATCTGCTAAGATGCAACTCTGCTTCATTCGCACTGAGTTACAAAATCTAAGAACATTCCCACAACGTGCACGGGTGATCTGCACAAACACACTGACCTTCAGCTTTTGCAGTGAGCTTAGCCTGGTGTAGAGACAGTGTTTGGGAAGGTCCTTTGACACTAAATAGCTTCCAGTTTCCTCAGGAGTTCCTTTATTGGCCTCCTTGGGATCCACATCCAGATCCTATTGCAAGAAAGAAATAAATGAGCTGAGTTCTACAATAGTTAGGAGCATTTCCTTTATTAATGTCAGAATTTTCTTCTTCCTAAAAGAAGATATCAGTCTGGATAACATGCAAAAGCTGCTAAAATCATTGCTAATCACAGGTGGAAAAGGTCACATTTGTTTAGGTTACTCTTTTTTGCTGATCCTTCCTCTCAGATTTGTTGTGTTTCCCTAAAGGCTGCTTTCTGCTACCTAAATCCTACTATAAAATAAGGTACCACAACAGTAATTTGCTGGCCTATAAATATATGTATTTATTATGCATATTAATTCAGATATGTTATTTATAATGAATCATTAGTGTCCTAAGTGCCTTACAGATCCTAAGAATGTTTTCTGCCTCTGAAGAGCTTTTGATTTTACTCTCATCCTAGATACAAAGGACTGTGAAGTTATAAAGCCAGAAAGACCTTGTCCAGATTTGTCTTCAGATCTCATTGGACTCCTTACTCCTGAGTACTGACATTAAATTTCTTTAATTAAATTTCTTTAATTAAACACAAGTACTGGATATTAGATGGTGAAAAGCAAAAGAGACTGACAAATACCATCAGAGATTCCTTTTTATGTATTTATATAGGTGTTTGTATATACACTGGTGTGTGCACCTGATTTTCACATTTTACACTGGTTTTATTACGAAAGGTGCAGTCCAACAGGGACAGGCCGGGTCGTGTCACCCGGAGCGGCCGGCGGTCACTGAAACCCCAGCAGGAGACACTTACGTGCGCGAAGTCGGTAACGTAGGCTCTGCACACCACGATTTCTGGGGGCTTCTTTACTATTCGTGTGTAGATTATCATGACATTGGAAAACTCTGCTGCAAATCCCAGCTGAATCTGAACACCACATTTGAATTCGAGGTACATACTTTCTGGAAGCTCTGCAAATAAACACCACATTATTACACTTCAAAGAACTTAACAAGTCTTGTCTTTTTTGAGACATTCGGAAGTTTTAAAGGGTCCGACCTCTTCTCCTGTCGCTTGCGGATTGGCCCAGGAGCAGCTCTTGGAAGCTCCCCAGGCAGCAGTGCTGGTTTGACACGCGCTCTAGAGCTCCCTGCAGCCTCACCCCTGCAACTGGCGCAGCAACATTTGAGGCAGCAGTGCTGGTTTGACACGCGCTATCACACCCTGCTCTAGAGCTCCCTGCAGCCTCACTCCACAGGCTGCCAACCTCCCTGCAACTGGCGCAGCAACATTTCATGTGACCAGAATGCAGCTTTCTGCCCCAACACTTGCTTTATGCTGCAGCTTTCCCCAGAGTAGCAAGGTTAACTGCCTCACGCAGGCACCTCGTGCACACGCTGCCTACATAGGGCAGTCACAGCTATGACATTTTAAGAAGCCCTGCACTTGACAGCAGAACAAAAGAAATCAGGTTCACCCATTTTTTAAAAGCACCCTTTTGCTCAAAGATCAGCAACAATGCTTTGTGCTGATTTTTCTACTTCCACGTGAAGTCTATTTTTAGAGGAATTATTATGCTGCAACAACAAATTCTAAACACATCCTCTTCTATGGATAGGCTAAAACATGTACATTGTAAAATACCACTGTCTTTAGAATTTTGGCTTTGTGTTTCAGTCATTTAACAAACAGAATTAAGGGCTTGATTCCACAAGCAAGAACCTATGCCTGTAAGAGATCCTGCCCCTTCCATCAGGTAAGTCTTGAAAATGTCCACCAAGCCTCTGCTAGAGCTAGCCAAGAAATTTTAAATCATAATCCAATGCATTTAGCTGAAAAAGCTTAAAAACCTCCACTTTCCTAAAAGAAAAAAAGTGTCAGAAAGTCTAGAATTCCTTTCATCCTAATTTTAATTAACCATCTCAGTTGTATTTATCTAAAACTCCACTTCCAGCACTGTAGAGAATATTTTTACTGCACAGTTCATCTGGGGATTTGAGATGCTTTAGAATGAAATTACTGAAGCCCCAGAAAAGTTATAAGATCATCTCAAAATGTCACTAATATCAACACAGTGTATGGTTCTTCTCCCAAAGGTGGGCATCCCAAGTGTCCCCTACAGCACCTGTTGGTCAAACTCTGGATGTCACATCTTTCAATAAAATCTCATGCAGAGGTAACTCCCAAACCAAGAATGTTCAAGATCTGAAAATACTAATGAAAATTCAGACATGAACTTGAATTCCTTCCATTTCTTTCAATATTACAAAATACCTCCATGAACTAGAGACTAGTAAGAAGCTCGTCCTCGTATTTTTGAGGGAGCTGCTCGGTCCGAGGGACGTAGCAGCCCAAGGTGAGGCCCCGCCGCGAGGAGCGCCCCCACGGCGGGCTGGACCGTACCGTACCGTGCGCCTTGGCCCACTGCAGGTTCCGCGCCAGGGCCTCCGCCGAGGACGCGCTTTCCTCCACGGGGTCAGTTAATGCTCTTTTCTCAGACAAGCTGCTGCGGATCTCCAGAGCTTGCTTGCCTTTGGTAAGGTGACACTTGCCCATATCTAAAAGTAAGACGCAAATAATTTCAATTCAATTTTCGCATCAATGCTGTAGAAATTCCAACTAAATTAACCACATTTCACAAAAGTTGCCTGGCTGCGGTGCCTGTGACGGAGCGCCGGGGCTCCCGCATAAACTCGCGTTCCCAGAGCGTTCCCTGCTCGGTCAAGGGGCTGCGGGAGAGGCTGTCGCGGGGCCTCAGGAGAGGCCGGCGCAGGGCTGCGATTGCTGAGCCTGAAGAGACGGCTTGGGGGTATCTTATCAATGGATACAAGGACCTGAAGAGGGGGAGTAAAGGCAGAGCCAGACTCTTTTCAGGGGTGCCCTGCAGCGGGACAAGAGGCCACGGGCATACACTGAATCACAAGAAGTTCCGTGTGAACTGAAGCGCAACCGTTTCTAGGTGAGGATGACAGGGCACTCCAAGAGGCTGCGGAGCCTCCATCCTGGCGGAGCTTCCATTACGTGGGACTCGCGCACAGCCCCAGTACCATGTACTGCTCCTGAATGCTGCCCAACTATCCTCTGCCTTTTACGTGATCCCCCTCCTTATTCTTCTGTCTCATCGTTGGGGCACTAACTTGCACTCCAAATACCAACGGGTGCTGCTTTCACACTCTCCTCCATGGTAAATCTATTTCTTTCTTCTATGAGTTCAAGAAGAATGAGGTAATTAAGTAATGGGTCATGTGTTAGGATATCTAGAGCATGTGACATTAACCTGATAGCCCAGAGGAGGCAGTAAGAGATGCTCAGCCATATTCTGCGTGACATTTGAGGAAGCTGCGGAATGTGGCTATAGGCAGGACTGAGCTCCAACGGAGAAGACACGGGCAAAAAGAGGAGTACTGACCCACACTCAAAACCAGTGACAAAAACATTGACAGGAAAGAGAGGGCGAGAAGAATGTTTTTGTATGCTTCTTCAGAATACAATTTGTGAACTTCTATACTCATTGAAGGAGTGATTGGTCCGTGGCCCTTACAAAAACGTAAGCGAGTGTCTGCCATCCCAGCAAGGACATCAGAAACCACAGCAGAACGCTGTCGATCACCAAGCTTTGAATGCCCTAATGTGAGGAAGTCAGACACTGCCTGTGTAGAAGGATTTACCTACAAGTAATGGGATAACACACACTCGACTCCCCTAATGGCTGTATCTCTTCTGCGCTTTGAGGAAACACTGCCTCAAAGACAGAAGGAAATACGTTTTCCTTCAGCAATTTTTGCTTTAACTGCTTCCCCTGATAATACAGGAGGCAATAGCTGAACAGAGTCCACTAAGGCAGGGACTGTCCTTTGCTGTCCCCTCACACCATGATGAAGGGCAGCAACCACCATCACTACGGCAGGTTCGAGGTGGGCAGGACGTGGGTGACTGTCAGAGCGCCCACGGAAGCAAGTGGATCTGCAGCAGCATCAGATGTCACGAGACACCAGGGTCGTGTTAGTGGATGGACAATTCAAAGCTCCACGCAGAAAAACATTTCAGAACAAACAGTTCACCAGGCAACGAGGTACGCCAGAAAGAAAAGTGTAGTACCACTATTTTAAAGGAGCTCCAATCTCCTTAGAAATGGTGAACTTTGTTCACCTGCTGCCTCATAGCACCCACTTCTTTGGTAAGGGATATTTAACACAAGACAACAAGAAAGAGCTTAAAGAAGAGTACCACACTTCCTGTACAAGAAGAATGGCAGTGCAGCAAGGAAGCATTTAAATAATTGAGGCTGAGAAGACAGTCAATGCAGCAAACTGGAGTTCACCTTCCGCAACCTCATCCAGCAGGACAGTTATCTTCTTGTCCTCCAACAGGCGCTCCTTCAAGAACTTCATGAAAATTCCATTGGCCAGGCCATAGTGCTGGATTTCGAAAGCTTCTGCCCCTTGGCACCTACAAGGTCACCAGTATCAGACAAGGAAAGATATTATAGACGTTACATGACTTAAGATCAAAGTGAGGACAAGTGGCATAAAGTTCTGTTTGTGAATGTGAGGGAAGGAAATGCTACAATGGGAGAAGGAGGTCAAGTCTCCAGCCAGCTCTTTGTGACTTTGCAATGTTCATTTGCAACCAACTCATCTCAGAACGATCTGCAAGACACAGCAAGAAGCACAGCAAGAAAATACTGTCCCTTTAACCCAATAATTGGCGTTTTGGTCTAACAGATCAGCTATACAATCTCAGTGGTCTGTTCTGACTTTAAAAATCTCTGTGGTATTAAAAAAAAAAAAAAAAAAAAAGCTTCCTTACGTTGCATATCCAAAAACGATGTTGGCTGTAACCTTTAGAGCATCTAAGATGAGAATTGTGTCATCATATTCATTTCTGCAATACATGGAAACACACAAACAATAATTTGAGAAATAACAGTAACAAACTCCACAGTTGCTCAGAACACCAAACAACTTAGTTCACACACAGTATTCTCCCCTCTTACAACTCTGACGAACCCTGACAGCTCAAGAGAACAACTGGCACCAGCCAAACTCCTCATGGAAGGACTGCAGAGACACATCCCGGCGTCCTGCACCTCCCGGACGAGGGCCCTCTTGGACAGCGAGCTCTATTAACCGGTACCGGACCTCGCAAACCCTCTGCAGAAAGTTTCCAGTGATGATGAGTCACTTTAGGCTACAACGAAAACTATTTGAATTCCTCCCTTGTTTGCAATGGTGACACCCAGGTTCTGCAGCAATGTTTTGCACTTGCACAGCAGGCTGTGAAGCTGGGTGGAATCTGGGGCACTTCGTGAGCAGTGGGGTTGTCAGGCTCCGCAAACACGAGGGAACCAGAACCAGCAATTTCCTACTGCAAAACGTGCACCGTCCTCAGAGACCGACTTCGCGAGTGGGGACTGCAGAGCTATTTCTGGCACGGTATTCATCTTCTCTTCATAAGGAAGGGGAGCAGGACTCGGTTTAGATTGAACCAATGTATTTTTAAGCTCTAAATAAAAATACAATTTCTTCAGCATAAAAGCAGTCCATAAAATAAATTCATGTCTCTTAAGAGTTCTCAAAGTACTTAGCCCTCCCATCAAACTAATGCCTTTGATCACATGGATTCTCCTTCCTCCCCAAAATTATAAAGATGGTTTAAGATAGAAGGAAAATACTCACTTTGCTTCTGTAATGTGCCTAACTGCACTTCTACCTAAAGAGGTCAACGTTTTGTAACTTTTAAGCAAACAAACCAAAAAGCTGGAATCGAGAGGCAGGTATCTGCACGCAGACCCAGGATGCTGAGTCGCCACCTCCACATTCCCACGTGGGGCACGCGCACAGCGATTCCTACTGATGAGGAGGGCTCGGACTCGGGGTGCTCCGAGCCGGGAGCTTTCAAGATCACCGAATTCTCAATCTAGATGGAACTTCAGCGTGAAGACCAGCTTTCGCCCCAGCTTCCTCGCTATTTTCCCAAAGTGCCTGGTTATTCTTATTTTTTAAAGTAGGCCCAACTTTAATCTATCTTGCTGGGTGGGGTGAATAAACTGAACTTCCTACTTGGTTCCCCAAAATCAGGCATTACACCACCTCCCTACATCATGAAGTAAAACCACCTCGCAAATATTTCATGTCAGTTTTCACTGTTGGCAAATGATCAGATTGGATTAGTTCTACCTTTTCCGACACATATCCAGCAGGAAAACATTGAGTCCTGTCTCTTTTTCCTGCATCAGTTTGAGTATGTTCTGTACACAGAGGCAGTTTGCAGACCGGTAGGGATTCGGAGCATCAACAGGCACCATGAAGCTGTTTCCATAGTTTTCATAGCCGTGGCCAGCGTAGTATAACAGACCTGGGAGGGCAAAACAGATGGGTCTGAGGCCACAGTTCAGAAGCAGATCCCAAGCCTGGCACGGCCGGGACCTTGCGCTCTGCGTCCACAGCGGCGTCTCTGGGAGACAAAGATCATCTGAGCTACTCCTAACAGCTTTCTTTCTAATTGCCATGCCTTTGTTAATACAGGAAGGAAGGAAGGAAGGAAAAATAAAAGGGAACATCAACCTCATAATGCAGACATAAAAATAAAAGCTTTCTCTCATGAAATAGAATCATCTGAATATGTACTGTATAGTGACATATGTAATCAGAGACAGCTAAATACAACAGCTCTTAAAAATGCTTTAAATAGTTTAGGCCCCAACAGAAATAACCAGTTGTGTGCCACACACTGGAACTGGAAGGTATGAACAGGGACCGGCGCCAGCTGTAAAGCAGCTGCTCCACGGGCAGCTACGAAGCTTCGAGTAGTAAAGAGTTAGTGCAGATTTTAACAGATAAACAGATAACTAGATAAAAAGATAACTACTGGATTTTTTTTGAAAGATGCTGTGATGTTAAAAAATACACCCTCTGATTTTTTTTTACCTACTATTACCACTAACAAGTCTTAAAATTACTATAACTAGAAATCAGAGGAAAATCTTGCTTACATTATGACAGTGTTTTTTCAGTTTTGCTTTCTTCTGCACAGTCAGTTTCTCCATTTGTTTTTATCTTTCTCATATGAAGGGGTAAGAAATATTTTTACATTCAGCGAAAAGAACGATGATTCCTGACCATACCTGGCAGCCCTCCAGAGCACATTCCTGTTATTCAAACCACCAGCTACTCACTTCTAGGTGATCACACCTACATCCTGCAGTTTCATGACCCGTAACTGCTATATGAGCAACTTACTGCAATGCTTACCTAGATGTAACAGATCATCCTAAAATAATGATCTCCCTCATATACCAATGCATAATGTTCTAAGACAGATTAAAGAACTTCAAACATGCAACAGTTTTGTACAGACAAAATATAATATACGATTAAGAATAGGCTTTTCATAACCCAACAAGTTGGGAACTCCAATAAGACTTAAATTTTACCTCTATGAATAAAACTGCACCAATTTACCGTAAAATTAGATAATCTCAGCATTAATTTTCACTGTCTTTATAAAAGACAGTTACCAGCAGCTCATGCGATTCAACAGTTTCCTTCTGCCTGTTCCCTGCACTGCTTTTGCTTATCCACGGCAAGTTCCAGTTTCTAAAAATAGTTATCTGTAAGTAGCTGTCTATGGTCAGAACTTCAATTGGTATCAAGGGCTGCAGCTGAATTGAGGTCAGAGATATGACAATTTATGCTAATCATGGACATGATCTTATATCGTTATTCTTAACAAATGCAGCCGTGGAAGTTGACAACGTAGAAGTGAAATACTCAGTAACACAAACAACCCTTGCCCTAACATGATAAACATAGTAAAATGCCCTGTCTTTAAGCCAGGTGAGGAGTTTGGGACGCCAGGTGACTTCCCCTTTCCCTTACAGTAAAGGCAGCAAACTCGAACCCTCTCTGGCAGGGCCTGCACACCGGGAGCAGCACGGAGCGGGAGCCGGGAGCAGCACGGAGCAGCACCCGGAGCTGCAGCCGGGCCTGGGCCCCGCAGGCTCCTGGGCGGCAGCACCTTCGTCACGAGGCCGTGGGGAGGCTCCGCGCCAGCGACAGCCCTGCTCCGGGGCACGGAGCTCGTCCGGAGGCTGTGGGGGAGCTCGTCCGGAGGCCGTGGGGAGGCTCCGCGCCAGCGCTAGCCCTGCTCCGGGGCATGGAGCTCGTCCGGAGGCCGTGGGGAAGCCCCGCGCCAGCGCCAGCCCTGCTCCGGGGCACGGAGCCCCGTGGCACCTCACGGGACGGAGCCCACCAGCACCCCTGTACTCAGGTAAGGCTCTCAAGGGCACAGGATTAACCATGTGGAATTTAAAACGTAAATACATATAGTGCTAACGGGCCAATTATAAGATTCCTATCTCAGGTACTTTCAAAGGAAATAAAAATGAAGTGCTAAGTGCCTTAATCTCAGGTCAGGTTAAGGAAAACTACTAAACACTGTTTCCACAGTGCTTGGATCTGGACCTAAATTGAGGTTGTGCAGCTGAGTGCATGCTGGAGAAGTCACTGAGCTTTTTGAAGAAGGGGTCTCTAATTTAAAACCTTTTCGTTCTTTCTAAGGCCACACTGATATAATCTGTGTTGAAGTTTAATAAATAAATAAATAAAAATGAGCAAAAATATGAGCTTTGATAATGCTTTGATCTGAAAGCATTTCTACAGGCAGCAGAGAAGCCCCCTGGGACCCGACGCCGGCACCGCGGTGCCCGTCCCCAGGCCGGAGGCGGCCGCTTTGCCGACCGCTCCGCACGGCTCGTGCTGACTGGAAAGCGGAGCCGGCAGCCGGGGCCTCCTGCC